TCCCCTAAATTATAACTCCTTGGCTTGAGACCCCTGCTTACTGCCTGTCTTGAAGCATGTATGATTCCTAATGACTGACAGTAATGAGATGGGTAGTCAACTAGCCAACAAACAGTGATAAGAAAATGTCGAGCTAATTTATGAAGTAGAGAAACAGGCTTCTGAATCAAACAACAATTTGAGCCAATACACTTTTCTACCTTACAGGATTTAGGAATTGGCACAATAAAATAGAAAAGATAAATGACTGGTAAAACAACCAAGTTCAGAAGAGAGCTGAAAGCTGACTTGCAGGAGCAGCTCATACATAGACGTGACCATCATTCTGGGACCAGCTAGGCTGTATTTTTGGTGGTCATCTGTATCCAGCACACAATGAAGGTTCTTTTTCTGAAGAACTAGAGCACTTATAGCTTGAACATTCATTCATTTGTCTAAGTATCTATTGAGTGCTTTCCTTGGGTCAGGTGGTATTTTTCTTTGCTGTTCCAACAGCACAATGGTGAAAAGGACACAGCCTCAGAGGGTTTTGAAGGAGACGGAGGAGAACAAAACAAAACAAAACACTAAACTGTAATACAGTAAGGGAGCTCAAGAAAAAGCACTTAACTATAAACAATTTTGTTTCATTCTCAGTCTCAATCTCCTCCGATGTTACTGTCTGCTCTGTGAAGGCAGGGGCCCCCTTTTATATCTGCATACCACTCAGCATCCAGCTCAGTGACACGTCCATAAATGTTTGCATTATGTGTTGCCTCCTGCAAAGATTCTTGATTGCCCATCTGTACATTAAACCATCACCACCAACAACAGTGTCCTCTATAACACCTTATGCTTGGAAGGAGGAATAACCAGGCTTTGACTCCGTGACACCCAAGAGTTCTGTGGTGACTTGATTCTTATATATATTTATATATAAGAATCTGCCTGCAATGCAGAAGACCTGGGTTTGATCCCTGAGTCGGGAAGATCCCCTGGAGAAGGAAATGGCAACCCACTCCAGTACTCTTGCCTGGAGAATCCCATGGACAGAGGCACCTGGTGGGCTACAGTCCACTGGANACCTGGGTTTGATCCCTGAGTCGGGAAGATCCCCTGGAGAAGGAAATGGCAACCCACTCCAGTACTCTTGCCTGGAGAATCCCATGGACAGAGGCACCTGGTGGGCTACAGTCCACTGGACACAACTGATTGACACTTTCACTTTACTTAACCCCTTGGGGCCTCTGATTCCTCAACTTTGAGCTAGATTAGTGTTCCCTTCTGGTTCACTCAGTCTACACATTCTTGGGTGCCAGGGAAGACACAGCGCTCAGACTGCACACGGATGGGATGGGGCATGGCTTATCCCCTGCTCTGTGGCCCCGCAGTAAATTCCCAATCCTTATGAGGTTTTAGTCACAGTGAATTTCTCCTTCAAAAACCAAACAGGATAATAACGAGCCACTTTCTTACATTTTCTATCAAGACAGCTCTTTGTGAGTTTTAAATGTTCTGTCCAGATTCAAAGAAGCTGGTTTCTTCATGAGTGGTTGGAATAAGACTTTTCTTGGAAGCTACTGAATATGGATTAGTTGGATTGTTTCGCAGGAAATAAAAAGCAGGCTCTAGGGTGACTACTTCAGCACTTAATTGGGTTAGCAAAGAACTGCAAATGAGAGGTTTCCCTTAGGAGGGAAAGGATGTTTATGGGCCACCTCCCCCACCCCCTAGGTGGTAGATTTTAACCTAAACGTTAGTCTGCAAATGCAGCCTTTAATTTAGGAACCATTACAAGAATCTATTAGAGCAGAAAATGTCAGGTTGAAAAATTAACACATCACAGGAGTTAATTAGAACCCAGCCTCTCATTAGATGCAAATGGAAAGCCCTCCAACTGCCCAAGAGCCCGCTGAAGTCATGTTTGTTGCTGATCCAAAGTGGCTGCATCTTTGTTACTCAGGGAGTAGATGGAGGAAGCTGCCCAGGCTCTCAGGCCAGAGCCACTAGGGACCCCTGGCCCATCCTTTAGGTTAACAGAAGGTCTATACTCAAGTCCCTATCTTTGACTCCTCTCTTGGGCCTCCCAGGTGCCTCAGTGGTACAGAATCCGCCTACCAATGCAGAAGACGCAGGTTCGATCCCTGGTCCAGGAAGATTCCCTGGAGGAGGAAATAGCAACCCACTCCAATTTTCTTGCTTGAAAAATCCCACAAACAGTGGAGCCTGGTGGGCCATCGTCCACGGGGTCATAAAGAGCTGGACATGACAGAGTGGCTGAGACTCAGCACGCACCTCTTGAACAGTGCATGTCGCAGGGCGGGGAGTCTGCTGCCTGGAACTCCCTTGGGGAAGCGTTTTCTGCAACAAAGACAAACATGCCATGCCTGTCACCAGGCGCAGATTGGCGACTGTGTAAACCACTCGGTGAGAGGGAGGCTCCAGGCCATTCAGACTTAGCTCTAAGTCGTGGGCTTTGTTTTCTTTCCACATTCAGACTGAAATGTGATTCCCCAGGCTTTCTTTTTTGGAAAATACCTGCGATGAGTTCCATGCTGGGAAAGAAAAGCTGTTGACAGGAAAAGCTTCTGACGGGCAAGGGGCTTTTTCAAGGGCTCTCAAAGGAGACAGTCGCATCAAGCAGGCCGAGGCAGAGATGGCAGGACTCTAGGAATGAGAGGTCCAGATCACAAAAGGGTTATCTGTAACCATGGATTAGGCGGAGTTTCGGGCAGCTTCCTCTGTGAACACGGCGCCACGCACACAGACTTTCGGGCCGGAAGATACACATCTCCTCTGTCACTTACTGTGTGTTCTTGGGCAAACGGCTTACCCTCTTGGAATGTCAGTTTGCTGAGGCCGTTGTGTGAAATAAATGCATGCAAAGCGTGTTAACGCCATATCTGGGGCAGAGTAAAAGTTCTACATGAGTTATCTGTTATTGATTCGATAGTAGTATTCCTCCAGCCAACACAATGAGCTGCCTCTGTGTGCTAGGCCTTGTGCACGGACAGCTCCTGCTTCTTGACCTCATAGAATCCACTGCTTAATAAACCGTGTACACAAATCTTTAGCAGAAAGCAAACCCCTCTGCCCTCCTTGCAAGTGCCCAAGGAGAAGTGCCAACTGCCCACAGCTCTGTTTTGTCGAGGAGCTCAGAATTCTACCCTTTGAGCAGCCCTCTAAATTCAGCTACTTCTACCTTCAATTTAGCCAGAGTTCTCTCTGTGGGCACTTACACACGGAGTTACTGTTATCTGTTTATTGTCTACTCCTGTGAGTTCCTACAAGGTGAGAACCATCTATTCATTTAATTCATTTATTCATCTCTGCAGGCCAGTGGTCTCATGCATTACTCTGCAAAGATAAAGAGAAGATTCAACTCTACTGCTGAATACACACAAAAAAGTTCCCAGCTCGGAACTTTTCTGGGGAAATAACCCTGCTACCCCCGACTCCTACTTTTTTCATTTTTCAAAGGCCTCCCTTGAGCCTCTGTTTTTTCCCTTTCATTTTCTAACAATCACTGGTTCTGACAGCAGTTTCTTCATTTCTTTGAGGGGAAAATAGAGTCTCCTTCCCTGGAAGGTTATGATGATGGCTGGAGACCTTGCAGTTTGTATGTGCCTAACACACTTCTAGACACAGAGCCAGATAGCAAAAAAAAAAAAAAAAGATTCCATTCTTGCCCTTACCCAGGACCGGCTGGTAATAACAAGGCATAATGTGATTACCACATGAGTGGTACTGAGGTCCTTTCAACTTGCATCCACCTTTGCCATAGGCTAGACTTACCTGAAATGGGAGGACATAAACACACATTAGAAACTTGGTCCCTGTCACCAAGTTCTTGGAGCACTGTGGTAAGTGTTGGACAAAAAGCTCTCAAGAAGAGAGCAGAAGGCTCTTAACCCAGATCCTTAGACCTGGGCTGCAGGAGATTTCCACAACATCAACAATAACCAAGTTATTTGGCACTTACGGGCCAGTCAGTGTGCGCAACAATTTACACACATTATCTCATTTAAGTCAGAACAACTGTGTGGGGTAGATATGGACTTCCTTATTTTACAGGTGACCCATCTGAGGCTCTGCGAGGCACACAGGCAGTCCTGCAAGGACTAAATCGTTTAGGAATCCACCTGCTGAGGCTTTAGTGGAGAGTGTGGGCTAGCACCAAGCTCCGCCGAAGGAGGGGAGGGTGGGGAGAAGGGCTGGGAATGAGAGGGTAAAGCTGGATCAAAACACGGCTGGCATGATCCCCAGGACCCCCGCAGAAGCAGAGAAAGTTGGAAAGAGATGCAGGAGGCAGGGCGGGGTGCGGGGGGATGCCCGGAAGGCTGGGGGAGGGCAGCCTTCCCGGCCCCCTCCCCATCCCGCCAGCACCTCCTGCACAGGTCAAGCTTCTCCCCTCCCGCCCTCTCGCCCTCCCAACCTTATTTAGAAACCGTGTCCCCGAGACAGGAAGGGCGGCGGGCCGAGAAGCACGGAGCGTCCCGGTCTCATTTCCTCTCGAATCCCCCTGTGGAATTTCATTTCGTACGGTGAGGAAATCGGAGCGCGAGGCAGTCGGCGGCTCCGGGGCGTCCCCCTCCCCCGACTCGCGGCTGCTGGTCGGGCCGAAGCGGGGGGCGGGAGCAGGGCCGGGCTGCACGCCGGGCGGGTTGGGGGGCGCACGGAGTCGCGCGCCCGCGCCGTGCCAGGCGCAGGGCCCCGCGTGCGAAAAGCCTTATCGCTCTGATCCTCCCCAGTCTCTTTACGGGCGAGGACCCCGACACCGAGAGGCCGAGCGGTTAGCTCCGGGTCACACAGCCGGCAGTTTAAAAACCACGATCTTCGTAAATAAGCCCGAAACCCTGTTTCTTTGTGTACGTTTCGCTGCCCGATGGGGAAGCGGCCAGGGGCCGAGGGGACAGCTGGGGGGCAGCCGGCGGGATCTGGGGGCGCGCCCCCCACCCCGGGAGAGAAGTGGGGCGCGGGCCGGGCTGGGAGAGCCGCTGCGGCCTCCGCTCCTGGCCCCAGAGCGCCGCGCACCGGGTGGGAGGGAGGCATCGGCGGAGGCGCTGCTCGTACGTGGCCGGCGCCGGCCCGGGGCTCGCCGCCCGTAGCCATGACCCCCGCAGGCCGTCCTCCGGCCCTGGCTCGCGGAGTCTAGTGCCCCCACGCAGTCGCGCGCAGCTGCGGGAGAGCCAGCCGCTACCCCTCCGCCCCGGCGTCGTCGCCCTTGGCGCCTTATCGCCCTCTCCCCGGAGCCCGGAGCAGCGCGGGCGGCCGGCGGCCCCGTGCAAACTGGGGGTATCTGCTGGAGCAGCCCCCCGCGCCGCCGCCGCCGCCGCCCCCGGCTCTGGCCATGGCCTGGCGGGGCGCAGGGCTGCGCGTCCTGGGGGGCCCCGGGGGCGTCGGGCTCAGTCCGCGGCGGCTGCTGCTGCTGCTGCTGCTGCTCGTGGGGCCGGCGCGGGGCTTCGGGGACGAGGAGGAGAGGCGCTGCGACCCCATCCGCATCTCCATGTGCCAGAACCTGGGCTACAACGTGACCAAGATGCCCAACCTGGTGGGGCACGAGCTGCAGACGGACGCCGAGCTGCAGCTGACCACCTTCACGCCGCTCATCCAGTACGGCTGCTCCAGCCAGCTGCAGGTGGGCGCCCCCTCCGCGGGCGGGACCCCTGGGGCAGGGGGACGCCTCCGAGCCCCGGACTCACTCCCCGGGGCCCTTGCCAGGTCGAGCCCCCTGTGCCCTACCTAGGTCTCAAGGAACGATATCTATCCGGGAAAAGTGATTTCCATCCCCACCCCCACTTTGCTCTCCCTCCTCTGGGACTGGAGGCCAAAACGTTGTGTAAGTCATCTGGCCTGCGAAAGAACCCGCTCTGCACCCCGCCCTTCCGTCTTTCTCCTCTGCCCACCCGTGTCTGGCCAAGCCCCTAACCCCAGCGGAGCTGAGAGTTATCTTTGCCAAGGATTCTGGCCGCCGCTGCTCGGTGGGCGAGTCCTCTGCACGGCAGCCAGTTGCAGCTAAGACTTGGAAGGGAGTGATAAGGAGACAGGGAATTTCTGCTCCCTCGCCGACCTCCTTTCTCCCCCGTATTTTTTGGGTGTGTTATTAAATGCAACACCCCTGTCCCGTTTTCTGCAGAATGGCCCCTCGCGTTGTCTTGCATGATTGTAGAGGTCATGCTGTAGATATAGAGGTTGCGCTGGTTTGAGTTCCTTCTTATTCTCAGGGTTAAGGGCGGGTTTAGTACCTGGAGGGGCAGAAGGCATCACTTGGGGAAGAGGTGATATAGTAGGGTCAAGCTCCAGAAGGTAGTTTGTATATTGGAAGTTTTTTTTTTTTCTTTTTTCCCAGTTAAAAGTGTTAAAGCTTATGTAGTCATATAAAAAATGTTCTTCCTACCATAATAAGTGAAGAAAGAATTTGTATACACGGGTGATTATAATCTTACCACAACGACAAGTTCACTGAAAAAAAAAAAAAACTGGAAGGAAACTTTGAAAAATGTTAACACTGGTTGTGTTTCTGTTGGAAAGGCTATGAGTGATTTTTAGAAATTTAGAAAAGAGAGAACTGGTAGGGGGCGGGGTGGGGTGGGAGTGAAGGGGAATAGAGGATAGTTCTGTAGTTATCCAGGCTGAAAGCTTTGGAAATCTGTGGTTCTGGTTGTAACTTCTAAGAGATAAACAGGCAGGCAGTTGACTTACTAGGTGCATGTTTTTACATAGGTCATCTGAAAAGTTGGATGGCGGTTTCAGAGGGATGGTTGGGATTAGACCTGTTGCTGGTGAAATGTCCCTGTGGAAGTGTCAGGATTTTAGAACGAGGTTATAAAAGCTTAGGAAAGTGATTCTCGAGCTCTCAGTTTGGAAACAACACATATCCTGACATCAGTGGCAATTTTGTTGGCAAAACAGCTTTTCAGGGATATATATTTTTAATTACATGTATCCTGGGGAGTCAGCCAAGCTGTTTTGAAGGACAGGACGAGATCCCTTTACATGCTGGAAAATAGTTACTTGTAACTCTAGACTTCATAGACAACATCTGTAAGGAGCCAAGCAGACTGTTTATCAATGCTGGAGGAATTGAGGACAGCAACTGGACTCTCCCCTGCTGGTATTGCAGTTTCAGGGACTGAACATTTGTATTTTCCTATTGTGCTTCATTATTATTCATTGAGGAAACCTGGCCAAACAAAGCCCCAGATACCCAGAGATTTCAACGTTTAACAGTGTCTCAATGAGGACATTTTCTGTTTCAATATGAGACTGGTTAAAAAATAATTTGGGGGAATAAAATAGAGGAAGGAGAGACTATTAACATGACAAAAGCCGGATCTACATTTTTTTGAGTATTTATTTTTATGGTAATAAAGAAATGGGGATAAAAATAAATCACCCCATCACCCAGAGAACTGAGTCAGACTGATCAGTCTGACTGATCTTTCAAATAGTAGCTGAAAGGGGAGGGAGGCTCAAAGTCAGCTCTTTAAGGTTTATTTCCCTAAGTGTTGTGCAAAAGGGGATTATGTAATGCTTTGGGTCCCTTTTATATATTTATTTATCTATGTTCTCCTGGAAAGGGTTTACTAGACTCAGAAGAAGAAAAGGGTGTAAGTGACAGATTATTAGGCAAGCTCATTTGAGGTCAGAGTCAACAGTCAGACACCCCTATAGACCGATTTAAAAGTAGATATGGACTTTGCCCAGAAGCAAATTTGTGCAAGCCTTCAGTCAGACTTCCATGTCAACTGTCACTGTTTTCTCTGTTCGTTTCATGACTTTTTTCCAGTTCTTCCTTTGTTCCGTGTATGTGCCCATGTGCACGGAGAAAGTCAACATCCCCATCGGGCCCTGCGGCGGGATGTGCCTTTCGGTCAAGAGACGCTGCGAGCCTGTGCTGAAGGAGTTTGGCTTTGCCTGGCCGGAGAGCCTAAACTGCAGCAAATTCCCGCCCCAGAACGACCACAACCACATGTGCATGGAAGGGCCAGGTGATGAGGAAGTGCCCTTGCCTCACAAAACCCCCATTCAGCCCGGGGAAGAGTGCCACTCCGTGGGAACCAACTCGGATCAGTACATCTGGGTGAAAAGGAGCCTGAACTGCGTTCTCAAGTGTGGCTATGACGCCGGCTTGTACAGCCGCTCGGCCAAGGAGTTCACCGACGTCTGGATGGCCGTGTGGGCCAGCCTGTGCTTCATCTCCACCGCCTTCACTGTGCTCACCTTCCTGATCGATTCTTCCAGGTTTTCCTACCCGGAGCGCCCCATCATCTTTCTCAGTATGTGCTATAATATTTATAGCATTGCTTATATTGTCAGGCTGACTGTAGGCCGGGAAAGGATATCCTGCGATTTTGAAGAGGCAGCAGAACCTGTTCTCATTCAAGAAGGCCTTAAGAACACAGGATGTGCAATCATTTTCTTGCTGATGTACTTTTTTGGAATGGCCAGTTCCATCTGGTGGGTTATTCTGACGCTCACTTGGTTTTTGGCAGCGGGACTCAAATGGGGTCATGAAGCCATCGAAATGCACAGCTCTTATTTCCACATTGCAGCCTGGGCCATCCCCGCGGTGAAAACCATTGTCATCTTGATTATGAGACTGGTGGACGCGGACGAGCTGACTGGCCTGTGCTACGTGGGGAACCAGAACCTGGATGCGCTCACGGGCTTTGTGGTGGCCCCGCTGTTCACCTACCTGGTGATTGGGACTTTGTTCATTGCTGCGGGGTTGGTGGCCTTGTTCAAAATTCGGTCAAATCTCCAAAAGGATGGGACGAAGACAGACAAGCTGGAAAGGCTGATGGTGAAGATCGGGGTCTTCTCGGTCCTGTACACCGTGCCTGCAACCTGCGTGATTGCCTGTTATTTCTATGAAATCTCCAACTGGGCGCTCTTCCGGTATTCTGCAGATGACTCCAACATGGCGGTGGAAATGTTGAAAATCTTTATGTCTTTGCTGGTGGGCATCACTTCGGGCATGTGGATTTGGTCTGCCAAAACTCTGCACACGTGGCAGAAGTGTTCCAACAGATTGGTGAATTCTGGGAAGGTAAAGAGAGAGAAAAGAGGGAATGGTTGGGTGAAGCCTGGGAGAGGCAATGAGACTGTGGTATAAGGCTAGCCAGCCTCCACGCTTTCCAGATTTTGAAGGGGGAATGCCAGCATTGGGGTGCAAGAGCTACTAAAAAGCTTCATGCAGTGAATCTCAGTTTGAACAAACTAGCAACACTTCAGTGACCCCCCCCCCCAGTAACCCACCACCACTCTCCCCCCGCTGCCCATCTGCGCCCAGCATCATAAAACTAGTGATTTAGCTGCAGACTTTGGAATGATCCAAAATGGAAAAGCCAGTAAGAGGCTTTCAAAGCTGTGAAAAATCAAAACATTGATCACTTGAGCAGGTCGCAGCTTGGAGCGTGGAGGTCCTCCCAAGATTCCAGGAAGTCCAGGGGATGCTGCTTTTCCCTGCAGGGTGGGATTTGAGCTGTGAGTAGGCAACTTACAGGGAGAAAGATTAACTTTTTTTTTAACCCTTTAAAAGTTTTAAATACTAACTGGGTCTTTGAGACAGCAAAGCGATCTATAAACACTGGAAACACTGGGTTCAGAGAAGTGTTACAAGAGTTTTATAGTTTGGCTGATCTAACATAAACATTTTCCGGGTGCACTGTCTGCTGTTTAGAACTTTGTGGATTGCTCGCCCAAGAGGTGGTGTCAGAATCTTTCAGTGCCTTTGTCATAAAACAGAATTGTTTGAACAAACAAAAGTACTGTACAAACACATATGAGGTATCCCGTGGATTTTTCTTCTCTCTCTCCCTCTTAAATTTCAACAGCTCCGTCCTAGACCGCTGCTGTTTTCTCCATTTTACATTAATGACTCAAAATAGGTATTTTTATAGGAATGTTTGCACTGCAGCGGGTCTAATGAGGGGGAAAGGAAGGGCGATTCACTTTCTTGACAATCACTTAATTCAGAGGAAAATGAGATCTACCAAGTCGACTTACCTTACCCACCCCAGAGACCGATTGCATTGAGCACCAGGGACTTAATATATTTTACTTTGTGTGATTATATCTATGCAGACGCCAGTCTGGAAGAGCTAAAATGTTACGTTTCTTGGCAACTTTGCATTCACACAGATTAACTGTATAATTTGTGTGTGTCAATTACAATTAAAAGCACATTCTTGGACCATGACTTAATAGTTACTCAACTGACTTTAAAACTATGGTCAGCTTGCATTCTCAGAATGATAGTGCCTTTTTTTCTCTCTTTAGCATAAGAATGTTATCAGAGTCTGGTCTACTTAGCACAGTGGAGACTTTCAATTTTGTAGAGGGAGCTAAGGACAACTAATCCAAACTACTTGGTGCATAATTGTTTCCTAGTAATTGGCAAGGGCTCCGTATAAGATTTCATTGGAGGCAGTGTGGCCTGGAGTATTTATGTGGTGCTTAATGAATCTCCAGAATACCAGCCAGGAGCTTGATTGGTTCGTAGGGAATAAAGTGTAGACCATATGAAATGAACTGCAAACTCTTACAGTGCAGGTCTTAATTGCATTTTGCAGGGGTATCCAGAGCTTTAAAAATGTATGTTTTATATTCCTTGCAAGAGGGTACCCCCTAGCAGCCTCTCAAAAGTTGCAGTTCTTTTAAAATTGTAACTGGCCTTTCTCTTCAACCCACTGAGGTCCTCTGATCACCAGATCTTTGGGACAAATTGATGTCACAGGTTGCTGTCCTTGAAGTTCTGCTTGGTCTTTGCTTTAGCAACTTTGGGATGATTCTTTATTTATCCCTGCCCTTCCCCCCCCCCCCCCCCTTTAAAACAGGTAGGAAATCTCTTTTATCCTATTTCTTTGTGGAAACGTGTTTCCAGGGACTAAAAGTTGCAAATAGGAGTTCAGATTCTGGAAATAAGCATGTCTTTGTTTGAGCTTTATGCCCCTTTCTTCTCTGTTTTGCTGTGGTTCTCGAGCTGAGATGAAGATGCGTGTAAGGACTGTTGCCTGTTTTGGAAGGCAAAGTCTTGGGGCCTCGTGCACAGATGCTAAGTGGGCACTGGTGGCCCCCACTGTGTGTTCTGGGCCTGACCACCTTGGCTGACTCTGGGTCAGGGCTCCAGGAGCATGAGAAATGCTCCCCAGAAGGACCAGTTGAACTCCATCTACGACTGCATCGCCCCTGAAACGTAGAATGTGAACTCCCCGTGCTGCTCCCAGACGGTTCCCATAGCTGGCCGGGGCCCTGGAGCGTGCACCCAGGGGCAGAGCCTGCCCTTACTCACGCTCCTCTCCAGTGTCTTGGGAGTTGCTCGGTGACTCCGGCCGAGGAAAGGGAAGAAGGACCGTGCAGGGGTTTGCAACGCAATTCTCTTTGTAATGCTTCAGTGACTGGGTGACCGAGGCAAGCATCCTAGCAGAGGGCCAGCCATGGAGAGGGTGCTCTGTGTTTATGAATGATGAAATAATGACAGTAAGAGTACTTGGGTGAACCTGGATGCCTAAGTTCTGGAGCTTTCTGGGTTGTAGAATGTCTCTTTCATAAATCTCTTGCCTTCTCGGGGAAGTATATTTGATCAGAACTAGCCATTGGCATACACTGGCAATGTCACAGGATTATAGGTTGTTCCTTTCACATTCTGTTTACAGTTTTAGGAAAGGAGTTTTGTGGCTGAGGAGTTAGTTATCAGTTACCTTGAAGTGAGTTATCATCACCTCTTAAGTTGGTTTGAAAAAAAAGTTAATTAGCAGCACATTTATTGAATGCCAGCTGTGTGTCACGCCCTGTGTTAGGCACCTTAAGGGAAATCGGGGAGGATCAACTCTTCCTCTAACTAATCCAACCTGGTTCTGCTAAACTTTGCCATTGGTTTCAGGAGGAGCAGGGGCTCCTGAATTGCCACCCGTTTCACTGTCTCCATCCCATAAACCTCTTCCTGGGTCTTTCTAACTGCAACCCATCACTCAGCCCTTCCCAGGGTTCCTTGCAAACCGATATGCAGGGGTTTTGCCGGAAAGCATCAACTCTGTTACAGGACAGTCTCTATGGAAACCTCCCCGACGATCATGAACCTTGCCTCCACCTAATGTGGCTTCCGGGGCAGGCCGTTCAGGGCTCGGGGTTTTCTAGTGACTTGCGCATGCACGCTAAGTCACTTCTGTCATGTCTGACTCTTTGTGACTCTGTAGGCTGTAGCCCACCAGGCTCCTCCGTCCAAAAGGATTCTCCATGCAAGAATACTGGAGTGGGTTGCCATGCCTTCATCTAGGAAATCTTCCCAACCCAGGGTTCAAACCTGAATCTCCTGCATTGGAGGCAGATTCTTTACCACTGAGCCGCCCGGGAAGCCCATCTAGTGACTCACAGGTGAATTTGAGGACAGCAGCTTGCTAGGGAAAAGGTTAGGGTTCTTCCTCTTTCTCAAATCCAGGAGAAGTAGGTATATAATTGTAACTTCCTACAAAATCCTTCGGCCTCGAAAAGGCCCAAGGGCACCTCTGTCAGCTTCCTCTCTGGCAGGCTCCTTTCTCCTCCTCCATAAGGGCCACACCTCAGGGCAGAGGAACCTGGGGAGAGTGAAGCTGACCAGAACCGCCTGATGGAGCGCCTTGGTTGAGTCATATCCTTTTTCCTCTGTGGAGACCCGTTTCCTGATCCCCGAGACTGCTCCTGAACTGGCAGCTTGCTCAGGGACCTCAGCCAGGAGGAGGAGGGACACTCATTTATTTCCCCGAGGTGCTCTCTGACTTTGCTTTCCCCTGGCCCTCTGTCTCCCACGTCCCCCAAACCTGGACCCCAGGAAGCTTCTGTGTCTGGGTTCTGACACTACCAGCACCCCAGCTCTGTCCTCTCTGAACCAACCCCCCCCCCCAGCCTCCTGGCCACTGAATAAGTGTTGGGAACCCAGCTGAGACCTGAGGGTGTGAAGGGGGACCCCACAGCCTCAGCCCTGGAGGGCAGACTCACTTGAGATTTCAGCAGGATGTGCACACGCCGGCTTCCCATGAGGGGGCCACCGCCGCAGCTGGAAGAGGGCTGTAGAGTGCCCCCTGGGAGGAGCCCCCAGAATCCATCTGCATCCAGAATTTCATTCCGTGATGGGAAAGTTGGGGAGAATTGCTGTGCCAGCCAATTACATCACGTCATTGGACCCGCGGCGGTTCTTTTTGCACCTTTACTGTGCTTGGGCGCAGAGTCCCCGCCTGGGTTTGTATTACATCCGGCCGGGGACTGGGTTTCTCATCTTTCTCCAGGGCCTGGGGCGTAGATCTTGGAAACTCCTTGCAGAGCAAGGATCAGATCCCAGAGCCTTAACTAATGGATTTTGTTGCGCTGTGGCCTCGGCAGAGCGGTCTGCTGGCGCCTCTTGTCCTGGTGTGTATGGTGATGCCCACTGGGCATTACCTGGAGAGAAGTGAACCCCAGAGCCCNGCAGAGCAAGGATCAGATCCCAGAGCCTTAACTAATGGATTTTGTTGCGCTGTGGCCTCGGCAGAGCGGTCTGCTGGCGCCTCTTGTCCTGGTGTGTATGGTGATGCCCACTGGGCATTACCTGGAGAGAAGTGAACCCCAGAGCCCCGGACCCTGCCCCGACAGGCCTCTACCCCGCGGTAAACCCTCTTGCTGTTTCCGTTTCTGATTTACCTTGTTTCCCTTCTTCTTTGCACCAGCAAATCCCCAGTATTCACCCAGGCAACTTGAGGGCCTGCCTGGGGACCCATGAGCCAGGTCCTCCGAGCTTACGGAGCTCCCTGATGGCCTACAGTATTCGGTATATGACCACTGTCATCCCAGCAGGCTTCCCCAGAGGCTGTGCGCGCCCCTGCCCCCCGGAGCCCGGGTCCATCTGCACTCCCACCATCCTGCCAAGGGCTGGGGCCGGCCTGGCTGGGGCCTTTGGGAAGGCGACGCTGACGTCTCTCCCAGTGGGGCATCTAGGTGGCCCTGAATCTCTTCCTACCTCACAGGGATGTTGTGAGACTTTAGACGGGAGGAGGACAAAGGTTCCCTGAGCTCTTGGTAGGCAAGGCGGAGTGAGTATCAGGTGTGATCTAGACACAGATGAAATTCCGCCTGCTGCTGTGGCGGACAAGCTTGTGCCATGTGGCCTTTCTCAGTCCCCCGGGCCCGCCGCAGCCCCAGCCCCCTTGAGGCCACCTTGAGGGACTTTCAGATGTTCGACATTAGAGGTACCAGGCAAAGCCCTACGACCTGCCCAGAATGAATTGCTGAGCGTCAGAAGAAATGGACTGTGCTATCGAGGATGTACAAACGTATGTCTGCATTGATGTCTGTACTGTAAATTTCTAATTTATCACTGTATAAAAAAAAATAAACTTTGCTATTTAATTTTTGTATTAAAGGAAAATAAAGTTTTGTTTGTTAGCTGGTGTGTAATTTGGCCTCTTCCTGCAGGTGTCTGAGAGCCCCTGGGAAGTACGCTTACCCAGCAGGGAGAAATAAAGAACTGGGTTTGCAGGGCAGAGGCACAGCCTTGTCTTCTTTTTGCTGATGCAATTTCCCCCCATGGGATTTCTCCTGGGTCAGCCAGCCCTCTGAGGTCCAAGGGCAACAGAATCCATCACTGCTGTGGTCGTCGGTAACTCTCAAGTGGTCACATGATGCTTCGGATGTGACTACAGTTCTCAAGCTGTCACTCCATCACACCCTGTTTTGGCATTTTCAGTACATGTGGTGACCATTTTTACATACCTTCTCAGTCCCTTTGGCTTAATGTTGCAGCCTGAAAAAAGTTTTCTTAGCATTGCTAGAGTTCAGGCCACTGAAAAGGGGGAAAGGGAGCTTTTTTTTAAACTCCAAACTTTTTGGGAAAAAAAGCAAAAAAACCAACCTTTTGTTCCCCCTGGTTACACAATGGTTGTGTGTTGTGTAATCGACATGGGAGTATGTCACATCAGTCAGCCAGGAAAATGACTTCTTCAGCTAATTTGATAAGTTGGGTGGTCTGTGTCCCCATAGCCAGAAAAGTCTTCAGACAAAGCAAATTCAAGGCCTTTATCAGGACATTGCCATGGGAGCAAGCAATGTTATGGACCACACAGGCACACAGGGAGGGGAGTTATTGCCATCGACTGGAGATGCTGTTGAGGTCCCTGAGGAGAACGTTGGCCCTTTTGGTTTACCTTTAAATTTCTTTCCACCCTTCAGTTTTACCTGAACACCACCCTGTTT